CCTGGCCCCTTCAGAGAGACCTATAGAGCAATGGCCTATAGAAATGTACATGGGATTTGGAGCATTCTATGTCTGCCATCAACCGGGCCAGGCACCCAGAAAGGTAAACGCCTCAAAACAAACCCCTATTCTGGTTAAAACGACTAAAATAGACAAATGAGTGGACAGAACTCCCCAAATGAAAATCAGCAAATGAGCATGACATCACAAGATCCACGCAGCTCCCCCTCCCTGACGCCGGTGATCTACCCTCCGGTTTGAGGCTGGATGTCAAAACACGTGAAAAAAACGCTAACCGGAGGAAAGGGGGGTAGCCAGGGAGCCTTCGGGTCTCACCCAGAAGATGGCATTTCCTTACATTCAAAGCTGGTTTTCTGGAGGGAGCCCTACATCACCAAAGACAAAATCTAGCGGGACTTACTCGGGAGGTGGTCAGTGCTCGCACCTTACCTCGAAGTTGAGACAACAGGCTGCAACTACCAACCCAAAGCGACAAAAGCCCTACTAGGCCCAGAAACACTAACGAGGTAGAGTGTAGCCAGGACCCTGTTCGACCGCCAAAAGCCCCGTGCTCGAATGTCAGTTCAGGACATGTTACCGACGACAACAGCCAAAGCAGCAAACTAACGAACGTTATGGACACAGGGATAGACTGCAGGCTGGCTAGACCAAATAACCTTGCAGAAGACCTGAGAGACCCAAACCCTAAAACAGGGAAGAAGAGACACTGGACCAACCCAAAGTGTGTCCCCGGTCACTGAGGCAGTGGCGCACAAATAATGGACGAGAGCCACAACTGGACACAACACATGATGTACCAACCTCCGCCTGACCAACCAAGCATCAACAACCCAAGGACCCCTCCGGAGAGCAGCAGTAGCATTCTTCGCCAAAAAAGGAGACAGCTGCAAACAAACAAACCTATCACCTCAATCAAAAGTGCAGAAACCCCTGCGCCAGAAGAGAACAAAAAGCCCCCCAACCCGACCCCCAGAGGCCAATGCCAACAAGAAAAGAGCCTTCATAAAACAATCCTGAACCGAAGGGGCCACAACAAACCGAGAAGACAAATAAAGGAGCACTCTGTCCAAAACAAGGACAGCTCAGGCGGTGCATGAGCAGACCAGAGGTGAAACAACGCCCGAGAATGCTTGCAAAACGGTGCAGAAGTAACAGCAATACAGAAAGCAAGCTGCAGCGGCTCTGGCAATGCTGCACAATATGAGGTAACAGTACTGAATTCGGCATAAGATGACGGTCCTGAAACAGCCACGAGAGAAAGGACAAAACAACTTTAACCGAAAGCGAAGTACAGCGATGGAGAGACAAAAAGAACCAGAACGACAGCCAGGAAACTCCATACTGCCGCCGAGACGAAGCTCGCAGGTGGGGACAGCAACCAAGAAGCCACCTGATCACCATATACATAGTGATAGACTCAAGTCAAAAAGACCAAACACGAAGACTAGAGGTGAAGATCGAACCAGTCTCACAACGGACTGGAACGATCTGTTGAAAAAGGCGAAGCTGCGGGAAAACCTCTGGGTTCGGACACCGAGCAAGCAGCGCCTGAAACCAAGGCTGGGCCGGCCACCATGGGGCCAAGAGAACAAAACCCGAACCCCTAAAAGATGTACACGGGCCACCACAACCCGAGTGAGGCATGTGAACACGCGAGGAGCCAGGTTTAACCCGAATGGGAGACAACGAAAGCGGTATCCAAGATGCCCCACAACAAACCCGAACCAGTCCCTGAACCCTGGATAAATCAGACGTGCCAATACGCGACCTTGAGATCCAGGGACACCATCCAAGAACCCGGCTCCAACGGAAGCCGGACCTGGGACAGAGTGGTCATCCAAAAGGAGTGCAAGAAACCCAAGGGTTCAGACGGCGCAAGAAACACAAGGGTTCGAGACTGGAAACAGGCGGGAGTCCCACCTGAGGGACGACATCGTTTTGACCACACCCGAGCAAACAAACTCCAAGATGACCTGACAGAGCGCTGGGGAAGAGGCCCGCCCCGTCAGCCCTCCCCCCCCCTCCCCCCCCCCCCGAAGGAGGGACCACCTGACGCAACCGCAGACCACCGGAAACGACCCAAAACACCCACAAATCGTGAGACCAGGCACAAGTGAACAGAGCAAACCTCCCCCATTGCCCTGTCAATGGGGCAAACCACGAAAGGGCCAACGCCCCTTACGACAACCTGACCTGCACACAGAGTGATCTCCACGCTGACCAGATGCAGACAGAACCGAAGGTAACAGCACTCTAAACCTGGCACCTGTGGCCAACCCCGACGATCGGAACCCCGAGCCCTGGCATGACCCTTCCGGGAGGACCCCCCACCCCCCTGGGGCCCCCAGAGAACCAACAAGGCAGACATCAGACAACAGCTAGAAGAAGCCGCCTGAAATACCGCTGAACTGCAGAGTCCGCAAACAGCAAGGGGACAAAAGGGTGAAGAAAACCTAAGAGCCAGGGCCTAAGCAAATTCCAAGGATGAGGAGAGCACAACCTGCCGAGACACGAGACGTGCAGTGAAAAACTGCAACACCACATCCCACAAGATTGGTGCAAACAGCTTCAGCAGTGCAGACAACGCACGAGCAGCAGTGACCAAGGCACCAGACCCGGGAACGGCCCCAAGCACCTCTACATCCTCCGCACACCAATCCGAAGAGAGCTCTAGGAGAGAAAAGAAACGCAAGACCGAAGCCAACAAGCCACGAGCACACAAGTCCTCGGCCACAAGCACAGCCGACGGAGAGAGAACCTGCATGTGAATCAATCACACCCACATCCCTCAGAAGGGGCAGGAGCAAACAGGCAAGCATTAAGGTGCTCAAATTTGCCCACCAGGCAAACCTGGACCACCATCAATGCCTCGCACCACTCAAGCATGCAGGTATGACAGAAAGCACTCCAAGCATCCAACGACAACAATGGGCAGTCCGCAAGCCAAGACGACTCCGGATTCTCGTAACGAACCCAATATGGAGACGAAGACCCAAACCTGAAGGAAGATGGATCTATTATAGAGGCATAATTAGGGTGGCACAGGAGGTAAGGTGCAATGGCTGCCCGCACCTCAGTAAGCGAGACGCGGGAAGCTGGATACCTCAGAAAGCGAGACGCGGGAAGCTGGATACCTCAGAAAGCTGAGGTATCCAGCTTTCTGAGGTATCAAGAAAGGTTTCAAACCGAAGGACTTGCAGGGATATGGAACCGAAGGACCCGCAGGGATACAGAACCGAACCCGGGGAGGAGCCGAACCCAAATCCAACTCGTACACAGAGGAGTGGAAATGAAAACCACACCCCTTGTAACAGAAAGCCCTGCTCTGAGGGTTGAAAAATCCAGGAGGGGTCCAACGGGGCCCAAGGTCCCCAAGTCAGCTCCTCCCCAACCCCAGGAACCTCCACATCAGGCCCCGAGGACAAGTTACCCTCCAAAGCCCTGGCCTCACAAGATAAAGCTGGGGCGGCCAGAAAAGCAGGATGAGAATAGGCCCACTGGTCAGACCCCTGAGCCACTGCTGGAGGAATGGACACTAATGCCTCCATCGCCACCCCGGAAGGGGCAACCCACGAAACTGCCCAAGTCTCAGAAACCTTTAAACCCCACCCCGACCCCAAAGCCCTCAGACGCTTCGGAGCCGGAAGCAAGGGGGGGGGGGAGGGGGATCAGAATGAACCACAGCAGGGGAAGAATGAGGGGGTTCAGACTGAACCAAGGCTGAAGCGACCAACACCCCCAGGGAACCCTATGCATATGCAGCCCGAGTACCTGTGAATATTACTCCCAGCTCGCATGCCACCGTAAGAGCAGTACTGGATACAAGGCATAGCACAACACAGAGAGAATCAGGAGCTGGAACCATACGACCGAGCCTCAAACACATCAGCTGAGAACTGACAGATGGATAGCTGGCGCGAGAAGTATGGGGCTTCCTCCTTCCCCCTCACGGGGAGGGGAGCTGCACAGACAAGCAGTGCGGCAAGTGTGACGTCATGCTCGTTTGCTCGTTTTTCACTTGAGTTTTATCCACTCATTAGCTTTCAGTAGTAGTTTTAACCAGAATAAGGGTTTGTTTTGAAGCACTTACCTTTCTGGGTGCCCGGCCCGGTTAATGGGGAGCCGACAGCTGAGTGGACAGCGCTTCGGATTCGTAGTCCTGAGGTTCTGGGTTCGATCCCCAATGGAGGCAGAAACAAAAATAGGCAGAGTTTCTTTCACCCTGATGCCCCTGTTACCTAGCAGTAAATAGGTACCTGGGAGTTAGACAGCTGCTATGAGCTGCTTCCCGGGGGAGTGTAACAAAAAGAAGACCTGGTCAAGGACCGGGCCGCGGGGATGCTAAGCCCCAAAATCATCTCGAGATAACCTCAAGATAAGATAATGGCAGACATAGAATGCTCCAAACACATGTGCACTTCTATAGGCCATTGCTCCTCGTGCCCCTCTGAGTGGAGCCAGGTTCTGGCTTGTGGTTCCCGGTAGACCTAGATCTCCATTCACACTGACTGATGCCAAAGTCTAATGATATACATATTGTCCTGGATAGCTCCGGGGACAATATGTATCTCATTAGACTTTGGCATCAGTCCCCCCAGAAATTACCTGATTGTGTAATACAAGTTATAGTATAACTAAACTTTACTAATTTTACTCACAGAATCCACAATTTCTTAATCTATTTTTTCATCTCAGAAATTCAGTGTCATAAAATGAAATGAAGTGCAATAATTTTAAATACTACATAAGATATGTTCCCATTAACTCGTACCACACACCTCAGCATTGTACTCGTATCTCGCATCTTAGCATGGCACATCTCCGATAACTTGAACCTTGTACCTCCGCATGGTACGTCTCCAGTAACCTGTACCTAGTGCCTCTGCATGATATGTCTCCAGTAACTAATACCTTGAGCCTTTGCACAGTATAGCTACACCAGAGCAATAATATATTAGTAATTTACCAATAACTCATACCTGCTGGGTGTCCTCATCGCCTTCAGTTTTCTTCAGTTTTCTTTTGCCTTGTCGCTTCACTGGAACCTGAGAGTGAAACAGGTAGGTCTGTCTGGTATGGTCATAGTAGAAATATGTGCCTGACTTTCCATCATAGTATAGACCATTCTCCTGTAAGTATTATAAAATATGATAGAACAGCATTGACATCTTAAAACTGTAGATATTAAATAATGACGGTAAACTCTCACATGCTTTCAAATTACATTTCTATACATTGTGAAAATCAAATAAAAACCAAAACTTGGAATATAATGAATACCTATTTTAGGAGGTGCCTTAGTGGCTCCCTGTAGCTAACTGCACTGAAAATCAGCCCTTGCCAGTCCTTAACCTTTGCATTGTGCATAGCACCTTAACTCTTTAACTGCGCAACGCGCCTGCAGGCCCAGGCTTCGGGTGCGCAACACGCCTCCGGGTGTTTTTATTTTTCACGTTTCATTCAAAACTCCCGCGGCTACATGGGGTTCACATCAGCTTCCTCAGGGCTCTTGTAAACAGACACCATCTTTAAAAGAAATCATGGTCCACATTGCCGGGTGTGAGAGCCTCAGTAGTGAGTGAGCAACCAAGGCTGGCACTCGCAGCATGAGCGCACAGCTCTGCTGTTCAGCATGTGACCACAGCATCGCCTAATAATGTCAAAATATATATATAACTTGTATTATTTAGCCATGATAGTAATATAGAAGAGCCTGAGTGTGATAATGACTGGGTATAATGTTCAAATATCAGTGATTCAATGCTGTTCACGATGTTCACAGCGCTAGCCACAGCACCACAGCATTATTTCGTCCATCTAGGAATCTTCAAACGACTTCTTAGGTTCCTTTTCAAAATAAACTTGTGGTCAATTATTCATTTACAGAAATTAGTGACCAGGATTGTGGTTATAATTAGCGTTGTGCATAGTATTGTGGAAGGAGGAATTTTGGGGAGGGAGGGAGGGAGAGAATTGAGGAAGCCTCACTATGTGGCAGCCACTCTTTGTTTTGCTCACCATACTAGCTTCGTGGTTCGCTATGGGGAACACACATGTACATGGGTATATACAGTGTGTGTGTATATAGTGTAATAACAGCAGCAGGAGTATGTTGAGTGGAGCTATTTTGGTGAGGGAGGTGACATTTTAATCGTAGCGTCGTCTGCTGTGTGATTTCTCATGCAGTGTATGGTGGCCACTGTAATATTTGGACACAATACCGGCTTACTTGCATAGTTCTGGTAAATAAAACATGTAGATAACTATATATAACATGTGTAAATAGTGTAATAAAAACAATAACAGTATGGTGGGAAGAGCAGTGTTGGCGAGTAAGAAGTTGGAGTGAGGGAGGGCCTGTCTGGGTGTGGCTGCTCACACTCGCGATGTTCTGAATGTGTTGATGGTAAATGTATATAGTGAGTGAGTGTATAGTGTGTACATATGTTGTAAATATACATAAATGAACATGAAACATTGGTGTGAATAACTGTATGATGGGAGAAGCAATGTTGGCGAATACAATGTTGGAGTGAGGGAGGGCTGGCTGGATGTGGCTGCTCACACTCGCTGTGTTCTGAATGTGTTGATGGTGAATGTATATAGTGTGTGACAGTGTATAGTCTGTAAATAGATTGTATATATACATAAATTAGCATGATACATGGTAAATATGTGCAACATATGTGTACACAAATGTCATGCACGTAACAGTGTCCTTGGACAGTACGGATGTTTTACTGCCATAATATAGTGTATGTGTTCATTATACATAGGATTAGCATGTAAAAACAAATAAAATGTATTTGAAACTGTGCGCAAAAAATGAACAAAAATATATTCGCGGCAACTCGCACGCCCCGCCCCGGGCACCCCACCGGCCCCGGGAGCTTACGGCACGGGCGCACGGGGAATGACGACGTCATGCACCACCATACGGACCCCATAGCAGCCAAAGTAAGTACAATTTCGAAATTCTGTTGCTATACCCATATACAGGGAGGGGTTTTTGACACTTTCAGAACAAAAAAAAAGAATTTTTTCCCGAGAATTTATTTCTTTTGCACTGGGGGGTGTCATATTTATAGGCCGCGCAGTTAAAGGGTTAAGGCACTCGACCGGTGGCGCTCATAGTACCTTTTGGTGCTCATGGGTATGTCAACAAAAATTCAAAACTCTTGTGTGGTAGGTTGGGTAGCAGAGAGAGAGTTTAGGCCTCCAGTGACCATCCACCCTTTTGAAAAAATTTCCAGCATGCACCATGCCAGCCAGTAGGTTCAGTTTTGAGTGAGCAACCATGGCCAAAGCATACCTGTCCAGCTCCCGTCTCCCCATGGGTCACGTGGTTGAAAAAACACACTGAAGATGCCATATGGGATATTGTTTGAAAAGGACCATACTAATGATGTTGATGACCCAAAGCCCAGCAAATACTTAACACAAGTATCAGACATAAGTGATTCAGATATTGATAACAATACAGTGAGTGTGTATAGTACAGGCATCTCACCACCCCTGACAGTTGAGTGGACAGTGCTCGGAATTCGTAGTCCTGAGGTTCCGGGTTCAATCCCTGGTGGAGGTGGAAACAAATGAGCAGTTTCTTTCACCCTGATACTCCTGTTCATCTAGCAGTAAATAGGTATCTGGGAGTTAGACAGCTGCTACGGGCTGCTTCATGGGGGCATGCAACAAAAAAGGAGGCCTATTCGCTGACCGGGCCGCAGGGATGATAAGCCCTGAAATCACCTCAAGATAACCCCAGCCGCATCACCCCAGGTCAACACCACTTCCATTATCATTGATGATGTTACAGAGAGTTTCCCATATACTGGTTATGATCTGAGTGAAACTGATTATTTCATTGCTTATTTTGACGAGCTATTTATGCAGCATCTTGTTGACGAAACAAACTGGTATGCAGTGTAACTCACTGCCTCTGGAATATTACCAGCTTCTCGTGTTACACGTTGGAAAGACATGAGTTTTGGTGAAAAATGTGTGTTTCTTGCACTATGTGTGAAACAAGTCATCCAGGATTATTGGAACAAAGACAGTATTCTTCAAATACAAGATTTTGGGAGGTCCATGTCACGTGATAGGTTCCTGCTACTTCTAAAGTGCCTATGCTTCGAAAACAATGATAATATAGATCGAAACAATAGACTGTGGAAAGTGAGGAAAATGCTCAGTGATGTGAGTTCAAAGATTATTTTGTATTATGCCAGAATGTAGTGACTGACAAATTGCTAGTTCTTTTCAAGGGATGTCTTGCTTTCAAGTAGGATATACCGTCAAAACAGCTCACGCATTTGGACTAAAATTCTTCATTATGTGTGATTGTGAAACCAGAATAGTGACTGATATGATATTATATTCTGGTACTTACATAGATACATCGGGTCAAGATCTTCACAGGTTTTCTGATAGTGTGGTAATGACACTCATGGAACCAGTGCTGAACAAGGGGTATATTCTGTACACTGAAAACACCTTAGATCTTGTCTTTACAAACAATGATGAACTCGTTAGGGTCAACGATTACAAATACATGTTACTCAGATCACAACCTAACTGAAGTTCAGACATGCATGGGCAGACCTGTGCAGCCAGTTTCTAATCCAAGAGAAGAATTCAGCAAATTAAATTTCAATAACAAACAGATTAAATGGGAACAAACAATCCAAGCCCTCACAGAAATATACTGGGAAAGACAGCTAGATAATGCAAACTTAAACCAGTGTCTTGAGAAAATACACACAGTAGCACTAGAAATACTGTACAGTATGTGAAATTCACATACAACTAGGCAGAAAGAGAAAAGAATGTGAACTGGAATGAGAAAGACGTTCCCTCTATAGGCGACAAAAAAAATATTGCAGAACATCTTAAACGCTCAACACTCTCCCAAGAATAACAAAGAAGGCAATGTAGAGAAATAGAAACGATTGAGCTATGGTTGCAAGAATCATATAAAATCCAGGAGACAGAAAGCAAAAGGTCACAAGCGAAATAGAGAGGAATCCAAAATACTTTTTCTCCTATGCAAAATCTAGAACAAAAACTACATCCTAAAATCAGCTCTTGCACAAGAGTGATGGAACCTTCACAGATGACAGAAAGAAATGATTGAAATACTGAGGTTACAGTATGATTCTCTTTTCAGTGAACCCCCTGAACACATTGAAGATCAATAATCCAAACAAATTCATCATGAATGTGACACCAACATCAAACCACATATCAGATGTCACCCTAACCCCACTGGACTTTGAAGTAGCCAAAAGAGCATGTCCATGCACTCTGCACCAGGCCAACTCCTGGAATTATATATTCATTAATAATCGCAAACAAAAACTCTATCCCAAGCCCTGAACATCTTTTAGAGACGGAGCATAGATACTGGTGCTATCCCTTACATACTTTAAACAGCAGAGATTGTGCCATTTCACATAGGAGGTAGTAAAGCTAATGGAAAAATGATTGACCAATAGCTCTATCATCATGAATCATATTCTTTGAAAGAGTGTCAAGAGGTAAGATCACAAAACACATGGAATCGCAGCATCTACATAACCCTGGACAATATGGGTTCAAAACAGCATTCCTGTCTCTCATAACTGCTAGACCACTATGACATGGAAGCCATGGCAGACAAGCAAAACACTGATGTAATATACACAGATTTTGTAAATGCCTTTGACAAATGTGATCATGTTATTGCACACAAAATGAATTACTGTACTGGTAAAGTAGGGAGATGGATCTTTAATTTCCTAACAAATAGAACTTGGAGTGTAATAATCAACAAGTAAAATCTGAATCATCTATAGTGAAAAGCTCAGGTCCAAAAGGTACAGTGCTTGCTCCGGTACCTTTCCTCATTCTCATATCAGACACAGAAAGAGATCCCAACTACAATCCTGTACAAACTAAAATGTTTTGTCTGTCTTTGCAGACAAACTAGAATTTTCATGAGTAGACAACATAGAAAAGACAGCAAACCTCCAATCTAATGTTAATCAAGTCTTTCAATAGGCCACAGAATGCAACACGATGCTCAATGATGATGATCAGTTCCAATTACTGCGCTACGGAAAAAACAAAAACATCAAAGCAGAAACCACAT